TCAACATTTGTCGGTGTAAGTGAGAAATAATGATATCTAGCAAATATTTCGTACATACACGAAACGACTGTGTGAATGTTGACATTCACCGGAAAATCTCGACATTCACCAGATATCGGTCATTCACAGTAACATATATATATTTAATATATTAAAAGCAAAATGTTTCGACACCGTCAACCGAAACTAACACTTCACAAAGAAGTGCTATAAGAGACTCAACTCTGACTGTCTGCATGAAATATAACAAAATCAATCAAAACGGAAAACAAGTACTTTATCCACACTTTCCGAAATATTGTACTTCAATTGATTTGATTTAAATCCAATTGGAAAGTTTTGAAAATATAATTGTATTTTTACTTTACTTTTAATAAAGGAATTAGAGGGCTGTCTGTCGTTTAACGGCTGACTTACTCTTATGTAAGGAAACGGAAGGAAGGGAGAAGAGATAGAGTGAAGAAGGAAGTGGTGAAGAAAGGATGATAGGAAAGTAAGGGTGCGACTATGCAGGCGCGAGCGAGCGAGAATATGTGGCAAGAAGAGGCGAGACGCGATAAATATCAAAACCTGTCAGATATGTGCGAGAATCAGAAATTCGCTCTCGCCAGCGTTATTTCTCGCTTCTCGTTTGTGCATGGTTTTCCTTTGCGAAAACTAAATCGCTCGCAACCTCTCGCTCGCTCTAACTTCGTGTCTGCATAGTCGCACCCTAAGGATGGAACGAAGGAAAGGGGACGGCCCGTGAGTGTACCGATATAAGTGGCTTCTGCAGATCATTTCAAAGTTAAAATTTATCGAGAACTGCCTCCAATCCAGTAGAGCACCAGGGAGCCAAGGGGCCCTGACATACTCAAAAATAATAATAATAATAATGAGGGGAAAAAACTAGCAAACTTTACAAAAATCTTTTCTTAACTAGAATTCAGTTTTTTAATTTATATTGTGTCGTGTCTTCTATTTCTACACTACTTATAAATTAGCAATCACATAAGGTAGGATTTCATTGAATTCGCATTAAACATTTTTTTATCCGTTCAACTTGACTCCCCGAGATTAAATTCTGAGTGCGCCATTGCTCCAATCAACAATATATATCGAGTAGGGTCGGATCTACAGGGGACAAAGGAGCATTCCCCTATGATCAAAATAATAATTTATTTGATAGAACTTCAAAACATTGTTTTTAAAAATTTTACGATAGTAAATATAGTTTATCGAACCATTCGCAGTATTATCTTGTGCACGTATGCAATCCAGTAGTAAACAATACTGGTTGAATTACACTGAAGTGCCAAAAGTCATGGGATAGCAATATGCAAAGATACAGATGGCAGTAGTATCACGTACCAAACGTATAAATGGGCAGTGCATTGGCTGGGCTGTGATTTGTCTGCCAGTGATTCATGTGAACAGGTTTCTGACCCGAGTATGGCCGCACGACGAGAATTAACAGACTTCGAACGCGGAATGGTAGTTGGAGCTAGACAAATGGGACATTCCTTTCGGAAATCGTTAGGGAATTTAACATTCCAAGATCCATAGAGTCAAGAATGCTGAGAATACCTAATTGCAGGCATAACCTCCCACCGTGGACAACGCAGTGGCCGACCGCCTGCACTGAATGACAGAGACCGGCGACGTGCGCATAGAATTGTTAGTGTGAACAGGCATGCAACATTCCATGAAATAACCGCAGGAATCAATGTGGGACATACGAGATACGTGTCCGTTAGGACAGTGCAGCGAAATTTTGCGTTAATGGGCTATGGCAGCAAAAGACCGACTCGAGTGCCTTTACTAACAGTGTGAGGTTAGCCAAAAAAAGGGGGTGAAAAGCGCGGAGACGATCTCGCGGTCAGCTCTGTCGCGTGGGCGCGGCGGAACTCACAGAGATAGGTTTTCTCATTTTTTTACCCGTTTAATAACATCAAAATAGTTTCTTACAAAAACTTTGAAATGTCGGGATCACGGTTGCAACAGTTATATGAGTCCAACAACGTAATGCTAATCGGTCTCAGACTTTCGATCCTGGGCGCCCTCGTATGGGTTGATGGTCACTCGTCGACCCCGGGGTGCGCTTCTGTGTCGATACTGGATTTCCTTCTCCGGCCGTCGCCCTCTTATGTTGATTGTTATCCGATAGGCTGGAGCTTTTCGAGGTACGTGGATTCCCTTCTTAACGTTTTAATGTTGCACACACGACCAAAGTAGGGGAGTCACTAACTAGACATCCAAGCACCAAGAACCAAGAACCTCACATCCCCTTTTCGCGCGGTTTTTTAAGTTTCCTTTGGGTCCCAGACCAAACATTCCGATAGGTCGATGTCGACTTGTCCCGCTCTCCAATTGGTCCCCCTCCTCGTTACGAATTGTAACGAGATCGGAATCCAGATCGTGGGATGAATCAATACCGACTGACAATTCGATTCCTATCGAAGATGTTAGATCTAAGCATTCAAATTCATCTATTGTTTTAATTTGAGTACTGTAGTTCGATTTTCTTAGAAATTTCTACAGATATGTCCTGATATGGACATAAAATATTCATTTTTCGTTTGATGGTTTCTTTTTACAACATTATAATAATAATTATTATTTTCTTTTATACAAAAATTAGAAAAATTTTCCTTTTTTTTGCACAAATTCTAGGCCCACTTCCGAAGCTTCACAACAGCACGACATCGCATGCAGCGCCTCGCCTGGGCTCGTGACCATGTCGGTTGGACCCTAAATGACTGGAAAACCGTGGCGTGGTCCGATGAGTCGCGATTTCAGTTGGTAAGAGCTGATGGTAGGGTTCGACTATAGAGGCAGCACGGCTCTATATTTCTCCAGGGGAGTTCCAATGACTTGTTGAATCCACGCCATGTCGAGTTGTTGCACTTCGCCGGGCAAAAGGATATCTGAGAAGATATTAGGCGGTATCCCATGACTTTTGGCACTTCAGTGTATGTATTATTATAGTTTAATTCATATACAGTACAGTATATATATAGTATAGTCCGATTATTTAAGGCGATCGTTTGGTTATGTAATTATTATAATTAATAAAACTTCAAATTATGCTCTTATTGTTTTAAAATGTCGTATCTGTCCTTTTGATGTTTTTTTTTTTTTTTTTAACTCTTTCCTCTCTTCGGGCACTAAGAGGGCCTCTTTTAGCAAGCCTGTTATGGGTTCGGCTAGGCCCATAATGGGGTGAGGGACGGGGCCGACATATCCAGACGGTCCACCCCCCAAAAATTCCTGGAAATTTATCGACCCGTTCGGATTCGAACCCCGGTACCCAGACCTTGATCGCTCGGCTATCCGCCCGAAACGTCTTTTTGATGTTACAGCGGACACACTTCGTTATTTGTAAAAGAATTTTGAGCCTTCTACTCTCTTGTAAGAGCACATTGAGCTATGATTTTCTTAGGATGTATTTTATTCTAATAAGATTTTCTTATAGTTTTAGATAGTAGTCTATACAAGTATATTTCAACAAAACACAGATACTTACCGCTAAATGAAAAAAATTTTGAGGTTATAATAACTACATTGTAATTATAACCACGATACCACATAATCACAATTTCTTACTACGTAATAATTGTAATGAAATAACCACAAAAGTTACAAGTATGTTTAGTGTTATATTGTACTAAAACTCGTGGATAAATCGAGTACTGATACGCTTCCTCGCACTTTGTGAGGAAGGAACAGGGCCTTCAAAAGATGGAGTGTTGGGAAAATTTTCTCGGACTGGAAAAAATTTAGGGGCCCATAGTGATTTCTACCTCTATAAAATAATGTTATTTTTTAAACAAAAAAGAAAATATTTAAGACTGCTTTTGATTAATAAAGAAATATGCTATGTATTTCATTTGTTCAAAGAAAAAAATTGACAAAAGGGACCCGCTCTATACCAGACGCATACAAGCTTTCTAGATTAGGGTGATCACAAATTTAATTACACATGTGACAAGACCTTTTCAATAAACGCACTATAGAAAGCTTTTACTAATTGTAATACACGAAAAAGTAAAATAATTTTCAGGAACTTTAGTACAATGCATTTATTCTCTTTGAAGCATACACATTTTGCCAGAATAATGTTGATTTATATGTCTATTTGGTAGCAGATTTGTATAGGCTATTTGTAATAAATAAGTGTAAAAGTTGTTATTAAAAGTGCATTAAGCTGAGGTAAAAATATACACTTCTCTAACAGAATGAATTTACATTGAAATCAAAAATATACGACGACCAAATTATTTATGGTGAAAAAATCATGTTTTCATAATGAATTCTACTTAGTGTCATATGTGATGTGTTTATAAGAAAAGAAAAGCAGAATGTACAAATAAAAATAAGAGAAATCAACGATTATTTCAATATAGAAATAAAAATTTATTTTATAAGGCAACAGTTTTCAGAATTAAAAACTTATACAATATGGATATTCCACAACAGTTTAGAATTAAATCATATTTTCGTATATTATTAAATTTTACACACGTCTAACTGTATTTCCTATTATCCTCAACGAAAATAAAGTGATAACGATACAATAAAAATGTATAAATTTCATACAAAGAATAGAAAAGAAAAATCTATATGTAGATTTCTCTGTACTATATTTATATTATAGTATATCAAACAGATTCAATATTAGAAAGTTAAATGATTAAGTGTTGATAGTTTAATACGAAAAATCCTTCTATATTTGGTTTACTTTCAAAGCAGAATACTTATTCTTTTGTTAACTTTCTATTTTATTTACATTCTTTGTATTTTCAGTGCAGTATTCCTCTTGGAGTGGAGCACTTAATAATAAATTATAATACGAAAATCCTGATGTTTAATTTTATATTGCGCATGTAAACAAACGCATTTACTGCATAAAAAAAAAGAGATGAAACCGTATAAATGTTTATTTTAATATAAATTTAGTCAGAGTTAACAGAAGAGGGAAGTAATTTAAATCGGTCGAAGGACGAATCATGGTAGAGTTTATATCGAATTCATGCTGTTCTGCTATTATGTTTACTGTAAAGCTTAGGAGGCGCCCTCTGTATCATTCGAATGGCTATTATGTGTAATGATTTGTTCATTTTGTGTTGTGGCAAAATTTAATAAAGGATTGGTTTTTTAATTGTCAACTACCGAAGATGCCAAAGCCAAGAAAAAGACGTACCACTGTTTCTAGTGAAGAAAAATCTGTAAAAGACGACGAAAGCGTGATCGATACTCAACGATCTTCTGCAGGTAAACTGTTAAGCCTAATATTAGGGTTAGACTATTGTCAAACAATATTAAAAATCCTACTTTGCAATTCTCGTTGTTCACACGATCAATAACATTATAAAAAAAATCATCCATTTCATTACAAAGTCTATAAGAAAATACGTTGTAATAAATGAATAACGTAATATAAAGAAATAGATGTATTTATTTTCAGAAATGGATTATTTTGACATCTTCATATTACTACAATTATACTTGAATTCTGTAAATTAGCTTTTCTGAGGTATACAGAAGTATAAAATTTTTTTTTTAGGTACATATTTGAATTATTTTTATATGTAGAATGTTTATATACATACATACATATATATAGTCAAAAAGATTTAAATTTCCCTTGGAAGTTTAAATCTATTTATACTATAGATCTGAAAAATTGATTTTGATTGCCGAGCAATCAGGTTTTTCTATTTAAAAACAATTTAAAGTTGTAAAATTAAATTTTAAAATTAGAATACTTGAATTTATTTCGTTAAATTGATATATTTAAAAAAATGCTGCAAATTATATTTATCTCAGTTCTATTATCAGTATATAGAATATACTTTGCTAACACATATTTATTTGTTGCTTAATTAAAAGTCCAAAGAAACTTTGTAATTTTTCAATGTAATATTGTCTAACTTTTAAACATATTTATACAAATTAATTAAAATATCTACATATGTGAGGCAGATAATAGTTTTGATATTTGTAGATATTTTAATTAAATTATACCAAGCACTAAAAGCAACTTTTGTAATAATTTTATATTTATACAATTTTGTTAATGTTTAAAGGATTTACACAGCCAGTTGAATTGCAAGGCTTTGTAAATCCTTTAAATGATGCATTTGAAATGATAAATCTTGATATTATTTAAAATAATCTTGTTGTATTTATCACATATTTCTTAAACAAATAAATTTTGTCAGAGTGCATTTAATATTATCTATATTCTGAAATTGTCTTGATTTCAGTATTTATTTGATTGTAGGGAGTAAAAAAATTGTCTAAGGAAAATAAATGAAAGAATAAAAAAAGGATTTGATTTTTTTTACTGTTGTATTTTGCAGAAAGGCTACATGTTATAAAAAGATTTAAGACAAGAATTTTTGAATTTGTTTTATTTTTGAACTATGGTTTGATTTAATAAATTATTTCTTATACAAAGAATCCAAAAATATCTGTGCATAGTACTTATTCACTGTTTGAATTTGATGGAAAAAGTTCTTTGTGATTGTTGCCTGCAACAATTGTTATCTATAATAGTGTCTTTCAACTTTTGAGATTGAAATTATCCTGATTTTATAAATCATCAAAAAAATATAGTAGTAAATCATGTACTACACAATATTTTTTTGATTTCAAGTTTTAGTCATATTTTTAACTAACTTACTATAAAATTTAACATTTGTTCTTTGTTCATCATAACAAATAATGACCATCATTTTCACAATACAAAATTTTTAACATAATTGTAAGTAACTGACAAATAATTTGTAAATATTTAAGAAGGAACATGCAGGTTTTAGCTCTTATAAACATGCTGAATCTTTTATTCAACATTCAATAGCTATTATTCTGATTGCTCTTGTTATTTTATTTCTACAAGATGGGTATAAAGTAATATAATCCCTGTAGAAAATTAATTGTTTGTTCCATTTGTTGTTTATTTTGAAGAATATATTGCTATATATTGCATTGAAGAATATATAATTACTAGGCCTAGTTGGTTTATGAAAAGGAAAGAACAGGGAAAACATGAGGAAGATGCATGCAGACTTCTAGCAAATAATGGCCTCCTCCATAAAGAACACTTTTCTGGTGGGAGCATAAGATTTTTACAACAGGTAATGCAAATGATAATTGAAGAAGTGGCAGATCCTCTACCAGATGTGAAAATGCAGTGAAGTCAAGTCACTGTTGAGATTGTCCATGAAATCAACATGGAAATATTCTGTGGAACTGGGTATATTCCAAATGACAATGCATAAGCACACACCTCTTCCTCTTCCATTGTTTTCTGTTTTTTCCCTTTTATAAACCAAATAACAAGTGATTATATGTTCTTCAATGGTGTATTTACTTGAATCAGCCATTTTTTCATTCTTTTTTCTGAAACAAGTAACAAAAGGAACATGCAATTAATTTTTTTGTAGTGGTAACAGGACTTTGTCTATCCTGTATAATAGATTCAGTTCTGTAATTTAATTGCTAAACTCTATATTATTTGTTTCATTACTTAGTTAATTAATAAAAAAAAAATATGTCCATACATATACTCAAAACTAAACAACAAAAAAATGATGCACCATATTGTATCATACATCATTTATAATATGCAACAATGTATTGTAGAATTTTTTAACTAATTGCTTCCTTATTCCTTAGTTTATTTACTTCTTTTGATGATATTTAGCATACATCTTTAGAAACTCAAAAGTTCAGAGCTAGTTTTTTTTCCTTCTAACTTTAAGCTGAAAACTACTAACTTTTTGTTTTAAAGAACAACTAACATATAATCAAAAGAGAAACTCTGACTTTCAATGTCAAACAAATTAAAAAGATAAGTACATGTTTATACAACACGTGATATTTTAGCTGTTACCCAAGACATACCAGAAGTACCACAATTTTTTAAAAATTTGTTTAACATTAAGTCAGAGTTTTTCTTTCAAGTATATTCATTCTTGGTGTGAAGAACTATTGATGTCCACTTTTAGTCCACTATTGATGTCCACTAACAATTTCAGTTATTTTGGGATTCTGATGAAGAGAATTCAATATCTTTGAAATTACTTAAAGAACTAAAAATATTATTAATTAGGAGTTGGAAGACTATTTGTTATTTTGATGATATAATCAGTTTATTATTTATAGTTTTATTTAAAATGAAATTTAATTTTGTAATGTGTACATTCCATTTATCTGTATCTTTTATTTTAAAATTTATAATTTGTGCTAAATTTTGAAACAAAGAACAGAACAAATTCTTTTCTTTGTTCTATTCTGTTTATTCTACTAGCTGAAGATGACCTAAATTAAGATTGAAAACATTGTTAATTAAATATATTTTTGGTAACCTCAAATTTAGCAGTTCGTTTGTTTTGTTATTAACTTAGCTGAAATTATTATTATTATTATTTTATGACATTTTTATAAAAAATTTTCAGTTATAATACAATATTTTATTTACGTACAAATCATAAATTCATCTGTCTTATTCTTTTTAGATTCATTTTTCATCAAACAGTTAAGGGGTCAACGTAAATTTACATATTAAAAAACATATAAATCAGGATCAAATGGAATATATAAAAGTTATCTTTAGGATGTCACAGGAAAAAATATGTAAATAAAATATTATATTTTAAAAAAAAATATACAAATAGTGAGAGCTAAACTTTTTATACTGTTTAATCAAAAATGGTAATAAAAACTGTTTTAAGCTGAGTAAGTAGTTTTTTTAGTTGTAAGAAACTTTTTTATTTTCTTTTCAAAATATTGTATTTTAATTCTATATTTTAAGCATAAGGAAGCTCATGCTAAATAAATTATTGTTTAGAGATTTCCAGAACAAAAGTTTGTTGTTTAGTTTGAATTATTTGAAGAAATTGAGTTTTTCTGTATTTAACTATAAACAGTAGTTAGATTAACTACTGTTTATAGTTAAATACAGTTCACAAATTACTCTATTTTAAATAAATAGGAATATTTGTTTAAAATGATATTAAAGAATATCAAATTAACTTATTTCATTTAGTCTCTTAAAATGCAATATTATTGTTAAAAAAACTGATTCAACTATTAAAAATTTTTTAAAGTCAACATCATATTTAATTTTTCTCTTCAAACATTTTTACTTAACTCTTTAAAATAATCTTTGAATAAAAAAAGTCTATTTTTTAGATGTTAGGAATATTTCATTCAAGAACTTTTTGCTTGTTAGTATTTTGTAAATATTGTTTCTATCCTCAGATGTTAAAAATATGAGGTGTATAAAAAAGCAAATGTCATGAAAGAGCCTAAGAAAATAACGCTCTATATTTTTTCCTAGAGAATAAAAAAAGCTAGTATAATGTTTTAGTTAATATTAATTTGAAGGTCCTTTCCATTAAGTATGAAGTTACAAAGATTTCTAACAGATAGCATTATTACTGTAGTGTTTTAAAATGGAAATAATAAATCAATTTCTATACTTTGCCTGTATAAAATTATTTATTACTGAGAAAGAATTAATAAGAAATATCCACAAATTTTTTAGCATTGTTTGTTATGCTGTGGTCAACTAATATAATATTAATCACTAATGAAAATAAGGATGGTTTCAGAAATATGAATATTAGAACTATGAGATTTATCTTGTCAGAAACTATCATAACTTTTAGCTTAGAAAAACCTATAGGATGATGCTGAAACCATCATTTACAAAATTTCACACATCACAACCCAAGAAATTGTGTTCCATCTCAATCAACAAAGAAAATATAGTTTGATAGATTTTGCATCATAGACATAAGTTTGCAAGTTATAGATTCCTTTGAGTTTCTTAAAACTTAGAAGAACCAGCTTTTCTCTCAATTTTAAGTTGTTTACACAAGTTTCAGTAGTATCACAAGTTTCACATCTTTAAATTTTTAGGAATCCAGAAATTTTTTACTTGATTGTGAACATTTTTCAACATATACTGGTATTTAAAAAATTGCAGTTATATTGCTACTTGTTTTACAGTGGAGTTTTACATTAGCAAAATTATGGTTATTGACTCATTTTAAAGCAGAAGGAGATTATTTTATCTCAAATTAATATGACAAATAAATTATAAGTGTATCATTTTGAATCAAAGACAAAAAGTCAGTCCATGAAATAGCGTTTGTTCAATTTTTATAGCGGCAAAAATGCAAACAGCTTTTTTTCAGAGTAGAAGTTAGTAGTGATATGTTTTAGAATTGTGAAGGAATGATTTTTATGAGCATTATATT